CCCCCAGCAGGGTAGATATCTCAACTTACGTGCCTTTCTTTTTTTTTATTTTTTAGACATCGGGTCTCGCTACACTACTCTCCACTCTCCGCAAATTCGGAGAGTTGCCAGAGAGTTGCTGAACTCTCCGAATTCGCGGTTTGGTGCTCATCGCTGCACTTGCTATCCGTGGTCCCACACTCCAATTCGTGAGAACACTAGCAGACGAGGTGACAGCACTGGACTATTTGGCTTCATCTGCATTTTGTCCGCCCCGACTCCAGGCACACTCTCCGAATTCGGAGCATCTAGGTGAGTCGCCCTGAGGTCCATCCGAAAAACGGAGGTTGCAGGCTGGGCACTCTCCGACCGTGGAGAGTGCACTTGGATGGTGGTTTCTGACAGCTATCCGAGTTCGTTTCAAGGGTTTTTCCGGATAGTTAGTGCAGCGGTGAAAAACTCTCCGATTTCGGAGAGTGGAGAGTAGTGCAGCGAGACCCATCATTACATCTTGAAACGGAGGAACTCTGACAGCTGTGTTTGGCTCTCTGGCATCCAACTCGTTTCCTTCTTTGGGCAATGAATGCATTTGGCCATCCATGTTGTCCCTGTCCATTTTATAAATGGTGACCTCCTGTCCCCTCACCACGGAGAGTATCCCTTTTCCACGGACACATTCACTCCGACTGTGCCAGGAGTCAGGACCGACTAGGTCTGTTGTACGCTTGTGCTCTGTGTGTTTTCGATCACGTGCGGCCGTCCGTGACGAAGGTCAGTCGTTGATCTTTTTGTGTATCGACTGCTAGTGTGGCCTCTCTTTGTTTTCGTGGAGGCAGCTGCCCATCGGCTACTAGAATTTTTAAAAATTCATTTCGTGGAGGCAGCTCGTCTCTGTTGTTCAAGCACGTGGCAGGGTATATTTCCACGTTCTGGCGGTAGATTCATTCGATTTTGCTCATCCAAAGTAGCGTGAGGCAAGCTGCGGGGTTGGACACCACACACACACACACAGAGGATGATGGACACCACACACACACACACAGAGGATGAGCAAAATCGAATGAATCATCCGCCAGGACGTGGAAATATACACTGCCACACGTTTGTGTGTGTGCGTGTGTGTGCGTGTGTGTGTGCGTGCGTGTGTGTGTGTGTGTGTGTGAGAGAGAGAGAGAGAGAGAGAGAGAGAGAGAGAGAGGGCGGGTGGGAGTGGGATAGTGGGGTGGGAATGGGGGAGTGGCGAGAGAGAGATAGATAGATAGAGAGAGAGAGAGAGAGAGAGGAGCTGGAGACGGGGAACCTCACCGACAGGCCCGGGTATTGCAAGAAGTTGCCCATACCTGGGTATGGAGGGCAAACCGGGTAAAACAGGGTGCAGGCCCAGGCCCCAACTACGAGGTCCAGATTGCAAATTTGCACATGGGCCTGACAGGGGCGAAGCACAAAGAATTAGGCCCAAATGGTCATTCCGCTCTTCCCAGATCTTTTAGGGGCATTTTGGCATATATCTGAGCTTACAGGGGTATTTCGCAAATTATCCCCCAAAAAATAAAAAATGCACAGAAATATCTCCACGAGAATAAAAATTCAATATTGGCTTTAGAAGGGTGGAGAGGTGGAGATGTGTAGACTACTCGAACTCCCTGTCCCTGTTGGAGGAGACAACCATCAGGACCTGGGACAACCCGCCGCAGGTGAGGGTAATTGGAGGGCACAGTGAAAGTTCAAAGGTACCCACCCAGACTTGGGTAGGTCGGGCTCCACTCAGGCAGCTATCCATATACCCGCAGGCCTGGAGCTGGTCACCTGGAATCACTGAATCCCCTCCAGTGAGGCTGCTGGAGTATTCCACCGCGCGGGGCTACCGGCTCGCTGCTAAAGTTATGAAGACCCCGGCCCTGATAGCCACTCAGCGTTGGCAAGCGATATGTCACGAGGACATGTCGGGGGAGGCCGCAAACTTCGAGAGACTGTGGAAGTCCCTGACTGATCTACCCAATGGTAAGCAGGTGAGTATTCTCTGGCTACTGTCACTACTGAGCACCCCTTCTGCAGTCTGGCTGAGAGGCAGAGGAATGGAGGTGGAACTCGGATGCTCGAGATGCAGGTGGCCTTTCGAATCCACCCGCCATCTGTGGTGGGACTGTCCAGCGTCCAAAAGGATATGGAACTGGTGGTCACACCACTGGAGGGAGTTGGGCGGAACAGGGGTAACATGGGATGAGAAATGGGTCCTACTGGGCTTTCTACCTTCAGAAGTGGGAGCCAGTCGTGGGTGGGGTTATATGGCACAGGCCACGAGAGGTCTGATCTGCGAAGTGATCTGGGCAGACAGAAACAGGGCGAGATTCCAGAAGAGGCCCCTCTCTGACCTTGAGATCAAAAACCACATTAAAAGAGGACTGAGGCAGGCGATTCGGGGTCGACTGGAGAAGGAAAGCCAAAGCAGGCAAAGGAAACCACCGACAACTCTGCTGGTTCATGCGCACTTGGGCGAAGAACTGCAACTTCAAGCTTGCAGCAGTGCATCGTGACAGAGGCCTGGTCCTCTCCCCATGGTTATTGGACAGGGAGGAGGCCAAGCTCCAGTAATGCTCTTTGGTATCACCATCGGAAGGACTTTCGTAGTACCTCAGAGTCTCAGCTCCGGAAGATCTAACCCAGTCTTATTAGGAGAAGTCCCGTAGAGTATCCTAAGCACCAGGACACTCGGTGCTAATAGGGCCGCAGTAGGCCCTTAGGAGAGTGTCTGTAGGACTAGGATTCTATCCTCTGGGCTGTGCTAGTCCCAGAAGTAGGTACTTGGAATAGCTTAGAAGATAGCAAGGGTGTTGCAGTATTCTGGCCTAACAGGTGTACGGCAGAGTTATTTATCGAGTCGTGCTTTTATCTACTACAAGGTTCGAATTTTAAGAATGTTAAGAAGATTGTAGTAGGATTCTGGAAAGTCGTAGTTAGGGACTCTTCCGCAGGCGCAAGCCTGTAAGCTAAGCTGGCTGATGCTGTCAGTACCACGGGTTGAATTGTGAGGTCCCCGGCCTCGAACTGAAGTTTATAAGGAAAGTACAATTGGTTAAAAAATAAAAAAATAAAAAAAATTCAATATTCACACCCGGTTAGCTCAACTCAATGGTGCAAGTGGGACAAGGTCCCTGGATACTGACAGCATGAGCCAGCTTATAGCTTACAGGTATAAGCCTGCGGAAATTCCGCATTTATGAATTTCCAACAAGATGTTATACTTTCCCAAAAAATAAAATTATGTGATGAAGTTGCAAATAAACTTGTATCAATTACTGGAATACCTGGAACAACTAACCCGGGTCCTACTGGCACTCTCTAAATAGCGGCCCACAAACCTACTTAGCTTCTAACCAAATAGTAAATACTTACCTAACGTCTGGGACTATGTCCGGGTCCTACTGGCACGCTCCTAACGGCCCACAGCGGCCCTACTCAACCGGGTCCTACTGGCACTCTCCTAACGGCCCACAGCGGCCCTACTCAACCGACTACCCTGGCCAGTGTAGTCTAACTAAACTACAGTATAATATGTTTGTAGCAGGAAACGAACACTCCTACTGGTAACCAAGGAATAGACGGAAAGCAGGGGTGGCTCTACTGCCAGTCGGGGAAATGAGGTCAGTCCTTGCAACCACCTAGAGATAACCAAGCCCTTCGATCTGTGATATTGTTTTCCATTGCACCCGAACTTTTTTTTTCTTTTCTTTTAACGGTCAGTACACGCCCTCAGCCTTGCTGAAAATGCGTTTAAAAAAGAAAAGAAAAAAATAACAAAAAAGGCAACTCGTTGCCCTACAAAAATTTTGGAGGCTCGGCCTACCGGACCACAATGGCTGGCGGCACCTGCCTAAAAAGAAAGAAAGTGGGCCACTGGCGGTTCGGAAGAGCTCGGCGCGCTGTAAGGCATGCGCCTCCAGCCCAGGGGCAAGGTCCCACTTGCACGGATTAAGAGATTCTGGCCGTTGATCTTTTTGGTATCTACGGCCAGTCTCGCCTAATTCGTGTAAGTGGGACCTCGCCCCCGGACCTCGCCCCTGGCTGTACTGGTGTGGTGTAACAATCGGCACCCGAACCAAGTCACTCTTGTGCCAATACCATTCTCTTGAAGTTCCGGGGCCAAACCCCACTTAGTACCTGGACTCTCGATTTCTGAAGATCAACGGCCAGGAATGAAGGTGTCTTTTTTTCGGATGGCCTGGCAGTATCCTGCTAGGATGGCCCTCCAGTCCCCTGGCCAGGTGGAGCTGGGGACTGTCTGCGGCCAGATCCTGTCCCACCACCTCCATGTCAGAAGATGCAGAACCAATGCCGAGGGGAATTGCAGGAGGATGTGCTCGATGCTCTCCATTATGATCTCCTTCCATCATTGTAGTATTATTAATAAACAAGAAAGATGAGATTTGATTAAACTTTGTAGTAGTAGATGGGAAAAACACCGCCGCCCGGATCTTATCTTCCCTGGCAATGTGTTTGATGGAGTGGAAAGAAAACAGCACTGAATCAAGATGCAAAGTCGAATCATTTTATGTACGATGGCTCCCCCTTACGGCCCGGATCTTATCTTCACTGACCATGCCCTCTCCAAGAACAGCCCCTGGACCATTGTGGATTTTTCTACTGGACTTTTCCCCTGAGCCTACTGGACCTGCCAATGGCTATCAGGTCCCTAGTATCAAATCTACAACGACTTTTGGGGGTACTGGTGGTTTAAGCATGAGGACACAGAATTAGGCACAAATAAGGCAAGCACATGACATGCATACGTCATCAGCAGATCACTAGCGTACTCAGGAACACAGCAAAATGAAACTGAACTCTGACTCAGAAGTCTAAGCAAAGTTGAGCAAACTGACGACAGCATGAACTTTTTTCTCAGAAAGTGCATATTTCTGCGTCTGTAAAGTGTTCGGGTCATTTCAGTTAACAATGCAGTATAAATAAATTCACTCCTTCCCACTGCATCATTGTTCGTTTGTTTTTTTTTGTTTGCCTCGCAGGGTCTGATGAGGAGAGCAATTTCACGTTTGAGTGCTGTTTCTGCCGACATCTCCTCCTCTTCCAGCGGCTCGTCTCCAGGAATGTCAGCAGGTTTGATGTCTTTTATTTTAAATTTCTCTCCACACCAGCTCTCCTCCTTCGATTCGGGATATTACTCTCTTTTTTTTTTATCTTTCATCTTCCTCATCGTCTCTTTCATCTTCCTCCTCTTTCTACCTTTTTTTTTTTTAATTGGACCATTTCTCGATTTATGCGTGTCATCCTTGAAAGCGCAGGGGCCATGCTAATCTTCTGTGTATCGTTCCCATTGTAACGGATGTCCCGAAGGAGTCTTTCTACCTCTTTCTGATAATTGTGTCCTTCGTCATTAATTTATCCATTCGTGTTCAACTTGCTCAATCTTATATGCTGGTCTGTGATGGTATCTCGATTGGTTTTATATGTGTTGGTCATAATCTAGTACTAGGTGTATTGCGGACCATGCGCGTGGGCCTGTGACTATAATCATGAGTGTCCCTCTTTAGGCCCTTCTGGCCGGCGTTTGTGATTGCTTGAAAGGCAGCGGGTCTAATACCAATATTACTCACCATTTGTATTTTTTACTTTATTTACATGTATTTTATTTATAAAAGTTTCTTATGATTTTTTAAAATCTACTAGAGTGAAATTGAATTACTTATAGATTAGTTGAAACTTGAAAAGATACTCTCAATTCTGTAAAAAAACAAAAGATCAAAATGTTGATTTATCAAAAGGAATAGTTCATTACGTTTACGACTAGATTGTGTATGTTGACATAATCTATATACTGATACATTTATACATTTTATTTTGTTTATAAAGATCTAAATCAATATATTTTTACTCTCCAATAGAACATATTAAATGAAAAAAAGCTACTAGTACGTGTTTTGTCCAGCATTTCGTGCCGTAAGCACTGTACGGATAAGATTACGGGAGTGTGGCTTCACCAGTAACAACGGAAGTCCTTGGTGTCGACCTGCTATCTTTGTCTTTCTCTTCCATTTTCTTGTCCTTTCTGTTTCTTTCTTTTCATTTGACATTTGTGATTGCTTGAAAGGCTACTTGTCTTATCCGGCTTTCGCGCTTTGGTCTTGTGTTTTGTTTTGCATGATGCGTGTGTGATGAGTGTGCGAACTATCGTACTAAGCCAGTGATTACAATGCCTGAAACCCTAAACCCTAACCTCCCCCCCCAAATGGGGTTTAACTAGGGAGGGGTTTCCTTTGATAATGTGAGACTCAGTTGGCTCCTACGGTCTTCCCCCGAATACAACGTACGGTCATTATAGCTGTATGTATTTGGGGTATCTTTCAGTCTAAATACACAGCTATAATGACCGTACGTTGTATTCGGGGGAAGAAGGTTTCAAACAAACCACTCACACTGTTCTGGACTGAATAGACAAACTGCTTGATGAACCAGAGGCAGAAAGGGAGAAAATGACAAAATGCAGGGTCCTGTGACAGACTGTTCCGTCAGAGTTTCACGGGTACACTATGTTTACTAGCTCCATGCGATGGCTCACCGGGCGGTCATTAGGCATCCGAATACTGTGCCCCTCTAGTGCCAGCTGCCAGTGGGTGTCTGGAATGTGATTTATGGCTATGGCAGACCGGTCTTTTGTTTGTTTCATGGGGGCTTTGCTGGCTTTTGAAGGTGGTGTGGACCTACAGTCTGTGGAGTATTCCGTTTGGTTCCGTTTGGTGAGGGTTGGATTAATGCCTCCTGTAACTGGTGTTACGGTGGATTATGGCAGCATATGGCTTAATGTATCATCTGTTTTGGGGACTCTGCAAACTTTTGAGGGGTCAGCGTCCAGACATGAGTGGGTAAAACTCTCAGACTGACAGAAAGAGTCTTTCACTGTGTCATCTGGCAAGATTGATCATTTGCCTTGAAGCTGAGCTCTCTCCCCTTGTGTGTTTTTCCATCTGGTCTTCGCGGTGTGGTGGTTTTGTTTCTTGATTCGTTGCACATCCTAGGCAACAGTCTCATTCCTCCCAACTTCAAGGAGTTTCTCGGGGCGCGAACAAGGACACCGGCAATCAATGTTGTCCCGATGCCGCCTCAGAGGAGCACATATCGCACATATCGGAGCCAGGTTTGTCATCAGATGCGGTAGTTGGGAATGACTTCTTCATATATCCTCTTAAAGCAAGGCCGCCTCGAATTCCCTTTTCCCTTACCTTCCTTTTCTTGTTCTTCTTCACCACCTCTCCCTCTTCCTTTCTCCTCCCCATCTCACACTTAACCCCCC